TTTATACACACTATAAAAAGCGTCCATCAGAAAGGGGAAGGGAGGAAAAAGATCCTATGCAAATAATCTCTGGGAAAAAAATTAAGCTTATTCTAAAAATGCAAAAGAAGCTTATACTTTAAAAATGAGCAAGGTTCTAGGCAAAGAGTGGGGTTCTGCCCACTCTGCTCTCTGATTCCTGCTTAGCTGCAGGTAACAAGTTAAATAACTACAGCGAGCATTCACAGGGTATTCGAATCTTGGGGGCTCAAGTACAGCATCTCCTTAGACTTTACAACCTCCCAGGAGACCACGGCAGATGAGGCAACTAAGGCACCTGGAGAGAAACAGTCAGATGACTTTACAAACCCAAAGTGGAGCCAGGATGGTAATTTGGTCTTAGGACTTGCTGAGTGCTGCCTCCTGGCCAGAGTTGCCTCACAGGCTGCAAAGAACAGACGTTTCCCCAGCAAGGACTCCAGCCCAGGAAAAGGTCTTCTCCGGCCAATGACTGATGGGGATACTCCAGGCTTTCTCTGTTCCCTGCCAATATTTATTTCTGGAGAGGTGGTTCGTCAACATTTGCTGACAGTATCCGCTTGTTTTCGCCATCTTCCCAGAATGGAAGAATTTACTTGATGTGATCTTGTTGTGAACAGATCAACTACGGAAGCAGGCTGCATGAAACACAAGTCTTCAAAAGCACTGTTCCTTGAGCTAAAAGTTTTGTTCAAGAAGGAGGAAAAATGGGAGTAGATGATGGAAACTTCCTTTCCTAGGGTTTTGTTCCCTGGGATAAAAAGCACACAAATGTTTCTCACAAAGAAACCTGCAGCGGCCAATGGCCCACATTGAAAGCTTTCTTTGTAACTGGGATGTGCCGAGTATTTGATTAAATTTCTGCTGTAGATAACCCTGCAGGTACATCCTTCTCGGGTCTTCTCTATTACGAGTTCATTGAGGCCAAGACCAAGTGTTCTGTCTTTGTCGTATTTCCCACGACATCCAGGAGAGAACTGCACAGGGCTTTCAGGTAACAGGCAAATGGAGAGAAAGCTGGCATTGGATATGTAAAGAGTTAAATGGAGTAGCTAGCATTCATCACAAATAATGGGCCCCCACCTCCCTTGTGGGAAGGAATTCAGGGTGCTTTTCAGATCTGGGATTCTAGGAGTTTGTGAACTCGGGCTTATTTTGATCAACTAAAGATAGCATGATGATGCCACTTTCAGAAGGAAGTGGGTGAAGAGCTGTGGCTTTAGGCACAGACTGCCCAGGCAGGCTTGCTGTCTATCCCACTGCAATACACTGAATGTCTGTGTCCCTTCAAAATCCGTGTTAAAATCCTTACCACCAATGTGAGGAAATTAGGAGGTGGGGTCTGTGGGGGGTGACTAGGTCATGAGGGTGCAGCCCTTAAGAAGGGGATTAGTGCCCTTGTAAAAGAGGCTGAGGGTTATCCAGCTGTCTTGCTGCCACATGAGGATACAGGGGGAGGATACAGCAGTCTGCAACCCGGGAGAGCCCTGACCAGGATTCCAGCCTCCCACTCTGCTGGTGCCTTGATCTTGGCCCTCCAACATCCAGAACTGTGAGAAGTGAGTGGTTGTCCCCAGTCCATGCTGCTTCACTATGGCAGCCCGGATGGACTGAAGCACCTGCCGCCCAGCACCTGATCCCTGCAGGTGAGGGCAGCCCCCTCAGTGTACAGACCCCGTGCAGCTACCAGGATCCTGCCATCCCTGCCAGGATGCAGGCACCTCTGTGGGGCCAGGGGAACTCAGAGAGCCTCAGGGAGGCTGCACAGCCACCCCGGGCCTGTTACCACCATCCAGGAAGGGCCTGGGCCAGGAGGATGAGGGAGAAAAGGAGAAATCAGGTTGCTAATTCCTGGGCCTGCAGTTGGCTACGAAGCAGAGGGGAGCAAAACTCAACTGAACACTTCTGCGTCCTGGAGTTCGGCAGGGGCAGCTGATAGGTCCTCAGGAGCAACATTAGCCTTCTGGAAATGGGCTTCCAAGGCAGCTTAGAATCCGAAACATGAGCTCACAAAGTCCTTTTCTGTTTTAATTAACATTAGAATCATGAAAAAGACGATTTTGCCTCCACCATCTTATACATACACATGACCGCTGACCCAGCAGGTGGGGAAAAAGGACCCTAAGAAGATGGTTCTTTAAGAGAAAAGACTTCAAGAGTGGTTTCCAAAAAGAATTTTCATTTATTTTTACTTGTTTCTTTCTTCCACTCCTATGCATTTTGATTCATTTAAATAATTAAAGTAGACTTATTAAATCTGCTGTAAATCCACTGGGCACTCCTGGCTGGTCCATCCTCTTCCTTTCTCCCCTTGGGGCTCAGCAAACTCTCCCTGGAGTAGGGACCTCATGCGTACTTTTCAAATGGCCATTTCCTGCTTTTGCAGGCTTTCCTCATGTCCTCGGAGCTTTCTTGCCTTTTAAGGGATAAAATGTTTACCACTTGCATTGTCCCTGACAACAAATATTTCCTGGTCCCCTAACTCCTTAAATAAAGCAACCTTGCATGCCTGTTTATCTGCTGAAATACTCCGGAGTCAAGAAATATAATGAGCTGTTTCTGCAATAAAAGTGTATATCAGCAGCCTTGTAGCCCAGCAATTGTGACACTGCACACCTCGGCCCAGATGAAATGTCCACAAAAGCAACCCCTCAGGGTCAAGACCCCCTCAACGGATCCCAGTTACCAGCTCCGTTTTTTATAGAATTGTGCAACATTTGCTGCCTTATAGGAAACACGTGGCTCCAGGAGCAGTCAGTTTTCGTCTAGGGTCCTCCTTCCTGTAAGACTAGTCCTTGAAACTGTCTTAGGTCACGACTTCTTGAACTTCTGGTCGTCCACCACCTCCTTCATCTCCCATCACCTCTGCAAATCCACACCAGCAGAAAGAGAAGTGGCATGGAATTCTTCCACAAGCACTTGGCTCCTTCTATACACCAGCGACGCGGTCGCCCACCCACCCAGGAGCCACACCAAGCACATGCTCAGGGAGACGTCCCTCCATGCCGGCTCCTGCAGCTGGGCTGAAAAGTCCAGGCCCCAAGGCCACCTGACTCAACATCCCCATGGTGTCACTGATACCAGGTCACACATCCTCTAAAAAGCCTCTGAGAGGCAAGCTACCTTAAATACAAGCTGGCTCACAGCCTAGCGGCTCCTGAAGAATTTGAGAGAGAGAGCGCAGCATGCTGTTGTCCTGCAGTGCTCAGGTACTCCCGAAGTCCGGTGCTTTTCTTCCTCCCGTGTGTGGCTCCCCTGCTGTACGTGTGCTGGGATTGAGTGTTTCAGATGCACGGCCTGGGGAAGGCTGTCTCGTTTTCAGACAGCCCCTTTGATTTACGATCCTGTGGTTAAATCAGTGCAGGATTTTGGAGAAAGACCAATTCCATTTGCTTACGAGTCTGATCCTGAGGCTCTGGCATCTCTAACGACCCTGGCAATCATTTGCTTTTAATTACCGTTTGATTCCATCCCTGAAAGAATGAGCCTGGCTTCTACCCCTCCAACTGCATGGTTCTGAAGAATCTCGGCAGAGGGTTATGGCTGCTCTGATGCTAAACTTGATTCAGGCAAAGCATCTTCTTTCAGGATTACTTTAGGCTGTCTTGACTTTTTTATAATGAAGAGTAGCCAATTCCATCCTGAACGAACCCTCCCAGCACACCTGAATCTCTTCAAACATCACTTATTTGCCAAAGGACTCTGGACCTCACAGCAAAGCTGTATAAAGCTTAGAAAAACAAGTTGACTTAAAGTTTCTATTTTTACACGGTGTCCTGTTTCTAGAGGGGCTGAGACTCGTGGTTTGAAACTCAATTTAGCATTTAAACTAATTTTCAGCTCGGTCTCTATGGACCAGCAATTAGGGAAGGAGAAGAGTTCAAAGAAGAAGGTTTCAGCCTCTCCTGGGCAGGCGTGTGCGGTCTTTGAAGACGCTCTCCCAGCCTTTCTTCCTGTCTCCGCCGGGCGGCCACAGACAGCTCGGACGACCTGCTGTGGCTGGGCCCGTGTGGGCACACAGTGCCCAGTCTTTCTGGTGCCTGGGTCTGGAAAGACACCAATGGCTCAGTCCATTTTGTTCCTTCTCACAGCTGTCCTGGGGAAGGATCTGAAAACTTCCTGAAGACTCCACTGCACACTGCAGGCCAAGAGGTACAAGGCGAGAGACAAGAGAAGAATGGACCCTTTCAGCTCCCGGAGCCACTCGGCCTTCCACTGACCCCCCAGCCATCTCGCGAGGCAGCCGGGCTGGCTCAGGAAGCCTGGGTCCTCCTCCCAGCTGGGCTGCCACCTGCATCTGTGGCCGCAGCATTCCTCTGGGTCTGGGAGTGTTCGCTGGCTTTTTTTTTTTAAAATCTAAATTGTCCATGATGACTGTGCTTAGGTGATAGAAGATCGCAGCACAAAATGCAAGAGGAACCGAAAGTGAAGTCTCTGTCTGACCATCCCAGATAGACAGCTCTGTCTCTTCCTCTGAGGCAGTCATCAATTTCCTCCAGAAATATCTGATTCCTTTGCAAAGAGTCCCTCTTCTTCTCCTTTCATTATTAGTTTTATGCACATGGTATCATATTATTCATGCTATTTTGTAACTTCCTTTTTTCCCACTTAATAGTATGTCTCTTGCAGTATCTAAGGTCCTAAAGCTCTTTCCACCTTAATTTTCTGTCATCAAGGAATCAGGCCTAGTGTTTAAAGAGTCTACTTCTTAAGAATCTGGGTAAATGTTCCCACAACTGCCTTAGCAGAGCAGGGAGGAGAAAATGGGAGGAAGTGTTTTATGGCTAGGCATCATGAAACACTTTGATGTTCCCTGGTCAGTTGTCATTGTCATTCTCATTCCTCTCTGAGCCATTGGCCTAGAAGGGCGACTTACTCTAGGTTAAGAGAGATGGAGCTTTGCGTTCAGGCCCTATCCTGATGCCCACAGGATAACCCTATTGATTAACCCTATTGATTCTTATATTTTTGCCATTTTACAGAAAAGGAAAACGAAGTCTCCAGTAGGTCAGATAACTACCAATGCCACCCGGCTGATGACAGCAGAACTGGCTTCCAGGATTGGCTGCCGTTTCTGAAGTCCACATAACCTGCCAATTTGTCCAGAAGGTGTTGAATTCTAAAAAGGTCAGCTTTACAATTGCTGTCTTTAATTCCCATGCCAATAGTTAATCATTTTCACTTGCGGGGCATTTTCCCTCCAGGAGCCACAGACAGGTCTGCTGAGGGGCACGGACGGGACTGAAGTGTCCCCTCCTGGAGCACCCCTGGGCGCCAGCCTTAGCAATGCTGGCTGGGCTTTCAGACTCCATCTGCGGAGCCACACCCCGGAGTGCAATGGGGTAGAGAGGCAGGTAAGAAAATAAACGTGGTTATGGTTAATTTTTCCCCAAGTGCTAAAAAGAGCAAAAGAGATCAGAGCCCACGCAGGTGCATGAAGGTGAGGAAAAGGAACCAGAACCCGAGTGGGTGCAAAAGACTAACCCAAGGTCAAGTTCGGAGCCTACAGCCCGGCGGACACCGGCACAGCAAGTTCCCTGGCCGCACCTGCCTCCTCACTCAGACCTCGCACTCAAGGCTCCCTGTGCTTTTTGGTGTTTTGCGGCTCCTTGGTGTCTCTGCTAGGGGGTGGGCAGGCTCTTCCTATTCAGCAGACATTCACAAAGGCCCCGAGGGAACGGCGGGTTGCGGGGATGCTCCTGGCTAACCCCAGGTTTCCGGATTATCTGGGCCATTTTTATTCCTGACATTCACAGCTTCCTCCCGTTACCTGAGATCATTTGAAAGGCGGAGGCCGGTGGCTCCCGCCTGTAATCCCAGTACTTTGGGAGGCCGAGGCGCGCCGATCACCTGAGGTGGGGAGTTGGAGACCAGCCTGGCCAACATACTGAAACCCCGTCTCTACTAAAAATACACAAACTAGCTGGGCGTGGTGGTGGGCACCTGTAGTTCCAGCTACTTGCGAGGCTGAGGCAGGAGAATCGCTTGAACCTGGGAGGCGGAGCTTGCAGAGCCGAGATGGCGCCACTGCACTCCAGCCTGGGTGACAAGAGCAAAACCCCGCTTCAAAAAAAAAAAACAAACAAAAAAAACACCTTCCCAGAAAGATGGCTAGACTATACTCAGAGTGAGCCAAAGGTAGGTATGAAGCCCCTTCTCCTGCTACTATCTTAAACCAAGTGAACCTGGCCAGTATAAAACAGGAGAAATGCTATGCAGCTACGGTGTCCAGTGCTGCCTTTGGGCAGTGCTGCCAACCAGAAAGGTCCCAAAATGTAATTCGAAGCCCGTTATTCCCACCCATTTTCCCAAGACACCCACTCAAGCCTGACCCGGAAAGCACACCCTAGTCCAGGTATCACCCTATGAGCCGATTCTCCTCCTGATACCTGTCCTGGGGAATCCACATGTTGAAGGGGCAGAACTTTGGTCTCCTTTCCCTGTGTCCCATTCTAGGAAAAACCTCTGGGATCCCCCGACAGTGGCAGCAATGGAGCCTGCATCAGAGGCTGCCCTGCCTCTCTGCCCTAATTCATGTTGGCCTCTTCAGTGCACTTGAAACTTACAAGGCAGAATGAAATGAGCCTGGCTCCTGATCTGTGTTGGAACAAACCCCCGAGGGCATCCTGAGCCGGCGGGAGTCTGGGCCTGGGCACACGGGCTGAGCACAGGGCTTCATCTCACACGCGGGGACACAGCCATGAAAAGATTCATCCCGAGGAAGCAGCCTCCACCAAGCGGGCTTTCTCAGCAGCTATTTCATAATTATAATAAAAGCCACTTGCATTGCACAAGCTCACAATAACATAGATAAAAAAAGGTAACACGGAGCAGCCTTGGCAGAGGAAGTGCCCTGTGATACCTCTACTGGTTATGAGTAGTCTTGGAGGACTAATCAGAAAAAAGATTTAAAAAAATGAAGAAACCACCAAACAAAAGTTAAGCAGGGTTCCACAGTTACGGAGCCGCTGTGCTAGACAGTTCCACGAAGCCACTGGGGATGGCCGGGGAGATACTCCAGAGACCTGCCCACCGCCCAGCCCTAGCAGGCCCGGGTCTGCATGTTCACACTGCGCCCTGGGACCCACCGCCCAGCCCTAGCAGGCCCGGGTCTGCATGTTCACACTGCGCCCTGGGCAGAAGCCCGCTTCCCTCCTGCCTGGGACTCCACAGGCTCTGCGGGGAGATGGTGGAGGCGATCGAGTTACACATGGACATGTACTCTGAGCTGGTGGGAAGGAAACGCCTTGTGAACTCCAAATATAATTAGTAGAATATCATTCAAGGAAAAGACATTATAAGGTTTAATTGTTTCCTGCCCTCCTTAGTCCCCTCTTCTGATTATGGTGACTTTACATTTTCCTTAGTGAAATGAAAAGAACGTGGGGTATGGAGGAAGGACCTTTGGGCTCATGGTCCAGCAGGAAAACTCAGTAGCCGTGTGGCCTGCGCAGGAGCCGTAACCCCTGGGACCTCAGCAGGCTGTGCCGCCTAAGAGTGTCGGGACTCAGCAGGGTGTCCTGAGGACTGGAAGCAGTGACTCTGGTGGATGGTCTCTGTAGAGTCTAACACGCCACACAAATCCCACTGTCACCTCCTTTTCTCTCCCTCCCCACCTCCTCCAGGGCCCGGGTGGCTGCTATTGTTCAGTATCTTTTCCAGGTGTGGTTATGACATCACCTTCGCACTGTCCTCTTGGAATCACTGAAGAGGTTTCTGGGATGGGAGAGCTGAAAGGAGCCTTAGGAATTTTCTAGAACCATCATCCCACACCACCACCCACTTCAGAAGAGAACCGAGGTTCCAAGTCACAGGGCAAGTTGGTGGCAGACCCAGGTCTCCTGACTGGCTACAGTGCCCCCCAGCCCCAGCCTTCCCCGTCTCCTCCCACCTCGCCGTAGCCCCACCTTGGCCTGCCCCGCCAGGAAGCAGAATTCCCCCTTTCAAGGGTGCTCTGAAGCCCCCATGGCAAGCCTTTAAGAAGGATGACCCACTTTATTCAATAAAGAGGAGAACACAGAGCTCTGAGGTACCTTGGCATTCTGCAGAGGGGGCTGGTAACTGGACGGCCGGTAGAACATCCTCTGGGTGGCATCGGTGTGAATGTCACCAAGGAAGAGCTCCTCGACCAGGTGGTCGAGGTTGTGGTGAAGGTACTGCTTCTCCACCCGGATAAGCTGGAGCTCATGCATGGCAAAGTTCACGGCCTTGGTGCACTCACAGCCATTCTCCTCTCGCCAGAGGTCATAGGCCACGTCCTGCACCCAGGGACCCCCGTCTGCGAGGAACCCCGGGCACGTGCGGTTCACCTGCTGGCCGAGCTTCTCGGCCACCGCCTCTGTGTGGCAGATCACCTGGACGTTGTGCAGCTGGTAGTCGGCTTCCGTGCCCCCTCGGATGATCCAGGAGGCCTGGCGGAGGCGGATCTTGCCCCGGATAATGAGAGTATAAGTGGGATTTGTGCACCGGTTGCTGCCATAATAAAACTGGTAGGCCTTGAAGGTGTTATTGTGGTAGAATCTGTAGGACCTTGTGATGAACTCTGGGCCTGACCTTACTTCACAGCTGGGAAAGGAAAGGGGAAGAAGAGACCTTTGTAAGCCCAAAGGCATGGGAAAGAGATTCATTATGGTATGAAGAAATTACAGAAATAATAATAAGCTTCTGCTGGTGGGCCAGACACTGTTGTCAGCCCTTTACAGATACCAACTCATGGACTCCTCACAACAACCTAGGAGCTAGTATTATCATCACCCACATTTTACAGGTGGGGAAACTGAGGTTAGGGAACATGCCCAAGAGCACAGGACCAGCAAGTGTCAGAGCCAGTCCATGAATCCAGGCAGCCTGGCTCTGACGCTGTGCTCCTAATCACTGCCTCAGCCTGCCTTCCACCAGCTTCACGAGCAGGCCAGGAGGGCAAATACCTGCTGCCCTATGCGGGCATTTCCTTCTGGATAAGGAGGACGAGTGCTGTGCTGGCCTATAAAAGAAGTTTCCTTATGCTAGTTCAAAAACGGTCAACTCCCTGAGCACTTTTATTTTATGGACCTTGTCTACAGTAGGCAGGTGCAAAATGTCTGTCATCCCGAAACAGAAACTAGTCACCTGGCGTCTTCTTGTCCATTCAAAATTAATTTTCTCTCTAGTAGAAAAGTAAAGGGGCAATTAACTAAAAGCAAAGCTGGCACAACAGAAGTAAGGGTTCCTTTTAGTTTGTGATGGTTGCCAATGTGGCATTAGATGAATGCTAGGTTCCTGAGCCAGAAACACTAAGGCAGAATCTACAGAGCGTAACAGCAGTGGGATGGAATTGAGGGATTTCACATACGGCTCTGTCAGCCATTCATATATACTAGCTGAGGCTGCAGCGGGGGGCACGGGGAGGTACTTAAAGCCCTGGCCAAATAACCTGGCCTTAGCCTTTTGTTAGCTCCTAGTCTCAGTTACGCCGTGACTTTCAGCTCAATTCTGGCCTTCCCACTCTGCTCTCATCTATGATGCTAACACAGGTTCTGGTTTGAACTGACGAAGCGTTGCTAAATCAAGCAGTCAGGCTAAAATGCCAAACACAAGTGGTTTTCAAGATTGCGAACACTTTAATTTGTTCGTTGATGGACTGGTGAAAGATAAGCATTATTTAGAAGGGGGTACCGTTGCTACGTAAAGTTTGACACCTGCTGTCGAGTAGCATCCTATGGACATAAAGCACTCAACGGTACCTGGGGTATCTGTAATCTTAGAAAAAGGAGACAGAAAACACCCCAGATTTCTCCCACGGGGAAAGAGAAGTTTAGTGTAAGCAGTGATTCATGTTAGATGAGGTTTAGAAAAGAAGATCCCTTATGTTTAATTTTTTAATCTAAGCATCAACAGTCTGTTGATTCTGCCTGCCACGTACAGTGGATCTCAGGCCCACTCACTTCTCAATTGCCCCTGTAGCTCCTCTTACCTAAGCCTCTGTCCTTTCTAACCAGAACGGTTGCAAAGGTCTTTAAACTGGTCACCCCCAAATCACTTTTTCTCCCATCCATTTGCCAAACAGCAGCCAGAATGCCCTTTCAAAAAGTTGAATCATGTTTTAAGCATGGCCCCTGCTGTAAGCTCGTCAATGACTTTTCAGTTCTCTTAGGTTAGAAAAGCTGGTCTGCAGGATGCCTTAGAGCTGGCCTACCCTCCCCAACAGCCTCATCTGAGGCTATCTGCCCTGGTTTACTGCATCCCAGCCACAGGGCTCTCAGCCGGCCGCTCCTTCAATCTAGCCAGCCTCTTGCTCACTCTGCATCTAACCTGGCCTCTGGTTCTTTAAATACAAAGCTCTTCCCACAGTCTTTGCACAGCCAACAATGTCTCAGTTCAAGGGTCCCCTTCCTTGGTAGGCTTTCTGAACTCCACCCCAATTTTAAAATGGGTCCCTCTGGTATTCTCTTTTAGCACCTGTTGCCTTCCCCACCCCTCCACTTTCATAGTACTTCTTGTGTATTTACTTATAAAACCCCTGATGATAGGGACCAGGTCTGTTTTGTTCACTGCTATATAAACAAAACTTAAAATAGGGTTTGGCATATGGTAGGCACTCAATAAATATTTGTTGAATAAAATGATAAATATTTTAAAAGTATGTAACATGAAGGTTGTTTATGCAAATTGTTTTTTTTTTTATTTTTAATTTTTTTATTTTTATTTTTTTTTGAGGCGGAGTCTCGCTCTGTCGCCCAGGCTGGAGTGCAGTGGCGTGATCTCGGCTCACTGCAAGCTCCGCCTCCCAGGTTCCCGCCATTCTCCTGCCTCAGCCTCCCGAGTAGCTGGGACTACAGGCGCCGCCACCACGCCCGGCTAATTTTTTTGTATTTTTTTAGTGGAGACGGGGTTTCATTGTGTTAGCCAGGATGGTCTCGATCTCCTGACCTCGTGATCCACCCGCCTCGGCCTCCCAAAGTGCTGGGATTACAGGCTTGAGCCACCGCGCCCGGCCACAAATTGTTTATTGTGGTTATTTTGAGAGACCTCATTTTTATGAAATAAAATTCTGCGTCTTCATCATCTTATACAATTTCTTTTTTTCTCTTCTCCGTATTCATCTGATCCCTCCCCAAGGAACTTGGAGGCTGCTATCCATATCCCAGGAACAGCGCATAGGGAGAAGTGATCAGATCCCAGAGTTAGTCTTGTTAATTCTCAGCAATTTAATGGGTAGAAAAAAAAAAATCGCAGATCTGCCTCTAGGCTATTTTTAAAAGCTCTAATGGAAGATAAGCCAGAGCTCAAACTGGGATAAATCTCAGCTTCATAGCATGGAAAAGAATCCAAGAACTGCACCCTGGCTAGCAGAGGTAGCTTTTAACTTACTCTTAGAACCCTGGAGCCATATATTAAATTACCAGAATATGGCTAGAATATTTACACCATCCGGAGCTTGCAAGTCATGTTTCAGGGTTGGTGAAACACAGACTCTTAATTTCACTTGCTAATGGTTTCTTTTTATACACAAGTAGTCCCATAGAGTTCAGTAAACAAGGATCTATTCACTCACACTGTGTGGTTAACAGGAGTACAATATAATCTCTGCTTTAGCATAAGATTTCTACAGTACTTAGCTCTTTTTCTTAACCAACCATAATTTCAAAGAGTAGTTTGGTTCTTCATTAGAACTTAGACAACACCTAAATCATTGTAAGTGATAAAGTCTCTGTGCATCTGAGAACCCATAAGAAGGGTCTTCCATAGTGGTGTGCTCTCTGGCCTCTCCCAGACCCCACCTGTCCTCTTACCCTGTGGAGACCCAGTGGCCCTCGATTGTAGGTGGCATCTGCACGGTGATCCTTGCGCCATTGTGGAGATGTTTGAGCATGTGATGGCACTGTGACTCCTTGAAAGCCCTCCAGGCACTTTTCTCTAAGGACCTAGGATGGGACCTGCTGTCTGGATGAAGGAGGGCAGAACCCTCTCCCAGCCCTGAAAAATAAAGGTGGAAAGTTAGCCAAAAGAAGAAGTAGCAGCAGACATGAATCAGGCCAAACAACCACCTCTGCAGCAGTCGGTGGCTGAAGGTGGGAAATGATTGTTTATTCTACAAAGTGTCATCACAGTGCATGCTCTCATATAGGATGCACATTCCAAAGTGGCAAGTGTCATTGTAGATCAATTCCCTGGTGAGAAAACTGAGGTCCTTGGAGATCACCAGCATAACTTGCTTGAGGTCACTTAGCTAGTTCCTGGCAAAGCCAGAGATCAAATCCACGCATCTATGAAGCAACAGTGAAGGTTGTGCATCTAAGAAGGGTTTGTGCAGGGTGGCCAAGGGAATGTGACCGGCACTGTAGGAGAGAGAAATGAACATGTTCTGGAGTCACCAAAGTGGAGGAGGTGGGGAGAGGTGAAAGAGGTATCATCAATAAGGGTGAATGTACACAATGGCAGATTTCAGTGAGGAAAGGAAACAGCAAGGAGACCAGCCTCAGTGAAACTGCAGCCTGGGCAGTGATGGAAGGAGAAGGCCCAGGGGACTAGGAAGATTCTCAGCTGGGATCTGCTTGCTGGCTTGACTCCATCTGCTTACACCAAGCCTTGCATCTTCTGGTTCTCTGTCTTCAAGTGGATGCCCCCTACACGGCTGCTCACCAGGGGGTGTGAGCCTTGCACCCTCCTACAATAGGGACATGGTGTGACATTTCCCCCCAATTATCTTCCAAGTCCAGCCCCTCACCCTCAAAAGGCCAGAAACAAGCTAAACATACAATATAGGGCTTTAAATGAAGAATAATGGCAATATTACATATGTTTATTTCCCAGGGGTAAAGAAATACTAGCAGTAAGCTTATCTTCAGAACGAGTCGTGCAGGTTGGCCACAATCTTCCCAAGCAAAACTACCACCAGCCTAATGTTCAGCATGAAGCAATTAAAACTAAACTAATGGAGTTATTATCCGAAAGCCACGGTCTCCTCTGATATTCACTCCCAAAGTGATTAACAAATCAACAGGCATTTATGGCAGACCTACTACGTATTTAGCCCTGTGTT